ATAAATATACTCCTATATTAAATTCAATAACTAAATAAAATTAGATTAATTAAGATAATACGAATGTTTTGATAGACATAACTTTAATAATGTTACAAATTGATAGTTCAATATGTAATATAGATTGTCCACTGCATAAATTTAGAAATATGCTTTCAGAAAATGAAAATGTATCATATATCGTATTCGAATATTTTACTATTTACTCTAATCATGAAAAAAAACACAAAGGTGTATGGAAAATAATTATCAATCGATAAAACATTGATAACAACACACAAAATTATATTAAAATAATTATGGAAACAACCAATACATCGTAACTCGTATGATATTTCAAAGTTCATGAGTATATATATATATATATATCTCTGATATGTCTTTTAAGGCTATTTGAAGTTATGAGATAGTTTAATTGCTACAGTTAATATTGCTACCCCCTATGATATTATTGATAGTTAATTTAACACTACTCTATAATAATATTTTATAAATATGCACTTGTATATTTAAATCATATTATACACATCATGTGTACCACATATGTATAATATTTCAATTCATATATCATTTTTGTTTTTATCTTATGGCATTGTGTGTGTTATCATTTTTAATGTAACTACAGTTCATTACTTCAGCAACCATTTTAGAATTTATATAATTTTGCAATTCTCTATATTCACTCTTTGTTATATAGGTTTATACTATAGTTGGAATAGGTAATTCCTTCCACAAATCGGAAAACTACATCCTCCATGATCAAATAAGGTTGGAATGTCTTTTAATAAGCAATCAGATATATTTCGAGTAGTTTCATATTTGGCTACGGTTATATTGTATTTTAAAATTTCCAACTGTGATTGCATTTGTTTATCAATAACAAAATATAATACAATATATTCAAGTAACTAAGTAAACGTTGAATGATCATTCTTATTTGTTGCATTGTTAATACATTACCATATGCTTAAGTCTTAGTAAATCCTTGATGTGACGCCATTAACCAACCATTAAATACATTTAAAATATTCATTATTGCATTTATTAACAATTGCACTGAAATATGCAATACTGTAACTAATGGCACTATTACATTCGACGAAACTGTATAGAATGTATTATATTTGTTTATGTTTTTTACAAGCCGCTTTGATTCCAGATTCTTTTAGATTTTCCCGAGAAATCAATAACGTGTAAATTTCAAGAATGATCGAATAAATTAGTTTTAATTACGTACAAAATGACAAAAAAAAATTGCAAAAATTTGGATGGGAAACGTACGTCATATATCTCAGTTATGGCATATGATATCAACGAGTGCATAGATCAATCTGTACATCTATTCTAGTAAATGGTACGCCCTAATGTCAGATACAAAAAACTTAATACACAGTAAATCAATTTTATCTAACAACGCATCAATAAATCATCATTTTATTCAAAAATTGATTCATTTTTAAAGTACGGTATATAATATAACATGTACTTTCGTGAGTTTCGTAGAAATTAAATATGATTATCGTAAAAACACGTAATTGAATCATTATAATATGGAATGATAATGAATCATACGTGTAATTCGCAAAAAACAAACTCTCAGAAAACATACCACTCGCAAGCCCTTAACCGACGGTCGTGGAAATAAATAGGACCGTAATTTAAATAATATTCCCAGAAAATCGGTTCATTATATTACCTATAAACCTAGCAGGGCACTCATGCTGTATGACGCCACATCATAGTTGACCCAGAGTGCAAAATAATTACCGTTTTCACTTGTATAAAAACAATAAAATTGAAATATCTGTTTTGAAATATTTGTATCGTATTAATAATTAAATCAGATCACTGTATCCTGATTCGTTTCCAGAAAAAAACATGTCTATTTATCTATGAATTCTTTCATTTATTAAATCAGGAAACCATATACAAATATCAATTTTACCAGCACAATGGACGTTATAAACGAAATGTATTTATATTAAAGTTATAAATGTATTACAAAGCACATGAACTATTATTTAAATCACTCGCACTAACATCTAATAACATTAAATTTCTTCAATAATAAATGACAAATACTTCATTACTTTTTTTTTCGAAATATGACCACTTTAACACATCGTACTTTATTTATTATTTCAACGTGTATTTTTATTTGTATACAACTATGACAGGAGATTAATTTCAAATTATATATATATATATATATATATATACATTATTATGTAGTGTGAATTTTTTATAATTTCAATCAAAACATTTTATAAACTTAATCCGTATTCACAATATCTACGAAAGACCCAGCCGTAATTTTTAATCTAACTTAATACTCCGATCTTCCGATCCCCAATATCAAACAGTCATCGATTTCTACCCACCACCGACTTTATTCAAATCCATCGCAATCCCTTTATTATGATCTTCACCAAATTATTTCCAGAAACTTCTAGATAAGTTTTAAGCAAATACAATAAAATATACTAAAATATACCTACGCTATAAATGACAAATAATTTGTGTTGGAAGTATTTATTAAAATAAATAAATTTCACAGTTTGCTTGAGTGTTAAATGGTTTCATAATAAAACTTCAATATTATCATCAGATAAATAATATAAATATTTTACAATTGTTATTTATATTCTATGTATTAGCCTTATCAATTATATACTGAAATTGTTTATTGCAATAGTAAGTAAATAAAATTAATTTTAATTTATACATATACGATTGAATAATAATAAAGTGATAAAATAAAACAAAAATTAATACTCGTAAATAATTGTATACAAACTATTTATTTATATAATAATGATGTGTAATTAAAAAGTAAGCTATATTATTTTATTTATTTCATTTATAATAAACCAGAAAAATCACTCAAGTATATTATAGTATTAAATGCATGAAAATTATCTAACACATATTTTTTTAGCAAAAATCATATATAACATATATAACTGTTATACACCAGACATATAAATAGTAATTGATCTTGATAATTTTGCAGACATCATAAATATATTATTAATAAATATATACTCAACTCAAATAGACACGTATTTAATAAAATAAAAACCATTAACCGTCGAGAACAGTAAATTGTGAAGACATTTAAATAAAAAATATATATATATATGTTGAATTCACCTGAAAATATAAATAAAAACTAAATGATGCACGAAAATACCAATTTGATAACCCTGAAAAGTGATAATAAATAGTAAACGTGTCTCAAACTACTTTATTTTATCCGTCTAAAATGAAATTAAATATGAAATTAAATGTAATTCACTTGACTTGGGGTGTAATTTTATCAATTCGATCGATAAAAATAACACCATTTATCGTGGGGAGGGAAAATAATAGTTTTCAAATAATATAATCTTGAAAGGACACTATGTTACTATGTATACAGGCACATTAATATACGGCAAACTGACCCAGAACTTTGTACTTCGAGGAGTTTGCCAAAACCTCTAAATCCGTCTGACATTTTCGTATAATAAACAGTCATCTCTTGACGAGATTTATATAGTAAAACAGTACATAAAAAAGGTTAAATTTCCCCGTAGAAGTTTTCACACGTTCTCGAAAATTGTATTCGTTTAACGATAAACTTTTTGTTTTGAGGAAATAATTCGAATTACTTACTGTCAATCAGTTCCGTCATGAACGCAGCTCGCATAGACTACTATGTATTCGCTACATACATACCGTAATGAACCCGTTCGCATTTACGTATTTGCTAAATATACAAATGTTCGTGTGTACAAAATTATTATATAGTTTATAAACAACATTGGTGTTTAAACTAGTTATTTGTCATCGGTCATGTGTAGCGAATATCGTATTGTAATGCTAAAAATTGTATTTTTTCAAATTCAAGAAAACTGATAAAAAATTTAAAAATAAAAAAATGATACGAATAAAAAGAACACGTCACATTAACAAATCAGTCTGGACGCCGCTTATAAGACACACGCACTCTCATATAACACGATTTCGAGCTGTCAGACAAAGTAGTACATAATCCGCGTTCGTTATCATACATTTGAACAGTAGCGCAGCCAAGAGAGAGGTGGGGAAACAAATCCGACGTTATGATATGAACCTCGAGGACTTTTACCAAATCCCTGTCCTCTTCGAATAAAATACAATTAATAAACTTTTGATCAGCCGAACAATGATATTTGTAAAGGTAAACTATTCCTCGTTATTATGCACGAATTACACCCAACATTAATAAATAAATAAATATATTAAATACAAAAACCATTTTTTTTTTAAAAAAACAAACTATGCATTGGTTTTTAATATTCAGTACGTAATATTAATTAATTTTCGTTAAAAATCATGCCAATTTTATCCTCCTGGAGTCTTTAACGAATCATTTGTTAACTTTACCCATTATTGAAATTTTTTCACGATAAATATTTAAAATCAATGCTATAAATATACTCCATTAATATTTCTAATGTATGCTTTACGCTTTTTAAACGTAGAAAATGACCTTTCACCGGCCGCTGTTGTTGCGTGGAATGTATTTGTAGAAGTTTGAAAATAGAAAAAATAAGGCCAAGGCAGAGGAAAGGAGGTTTAAACTCTTAACGCCTCGAACACGTCACTGTATATAATGTAAATCGCGGTAAATAATGCAACGTTTTGTACGTACAATGTTAAAAATCACATCACCCGAACGCGATTTGTTTGACCGTCTCGATCGAATCGTCGGACGCGAGTGTACTTGAACGATGCGGTGCATACCCATATTACTATATGTATTGTATTGTATTTTACTCTAAATCGCTAGCGTACTTGCTTCTTGTCCTGGACGATTTCTTCTCGTAATCGTCGCGGAATAAATTCAATATCACCATAATAATATGGCTAAATGACCTATATTATAAATATAATATGCAGATCGTAAGAACCTACGTCGAGTCCCGAGTTTAAATCCGTTTTTTCATTTTTATTATTTTTTTTATTATTTTCAGATTCGTCTCCAAGACTGATTCCGACCGTATCGGCAATGGTCTTGACGGCCGTCATCATCCACGTGTTTTCCAGACAGAACGAGCGGAGGATGATGTAAATGTACAATTTTTTTTTTTTGCACAGAACAAAATAGCGCAAAAAAAAAAACTTAAACTAATAAATACAGTAATTAATAATAAGCTCAACTTTCTCAGCCACTTCCTTCTCCATCACACATATATCATCACCGTGTGTTGCTCTCTTCCGGAAAACCACGACCCACCCCCAAACCCTGAACAACATTGTATTGTTATAATACCCAGTCGGTCTGAAAAAAAAAAAAAGTAAAGTAAAATAACAATCATAATCATCATCAGTACCTCACGAACGACCCAAGTGATTATGACATTCTGCCGGACGATGTTATCATTACTATTATTATTTTGTTAGTCGTATTCCACTCTGCGGTCGATTCGTGTGCAGACGTGCTGAAATGTTACCCTTCGGCGCGCGCGCATCCCCGTCGATGATATTTTATTATTATATAAAGAAGAGGCGGTCGCGGAATAGCGATCGCGTATTTTAACGTAATTATTATTATTATTATTATTATTATTATTATTATTATTATTATTGTATTAATATATTATTATCGTATTAGCAGTTTATGTACTCCGACGGTTTCGTCCGTACGGATAAAATCGATCGAGCCGACGTGACGACATCGGCGTGTAACCCTTTACGCATATCTTTGGTCACGTGTACTCGTTGACCCGCGCGCACCACATTTTAACCGTCACTTAACACAAAAAATTTATAGAAAGGGACATATGAAACGATATTCAAGAAAAACAATTTGTATGTACACGTATACGTATAGATATATATGTATAATGTTAGTTGATTTAGTCGATTGTCGTTGTTTTGTACATAATATATGCGCGTTGAAAATATTAAAAAGTATACTTAATAATACAAGACGATAATTTCATGACGGGTGTTGACACGTAAATTTGAAGTTAACAACAACAAGAAAACAAATTTCAATGTTATTTTTTTTTTTTTTTATTATACATTCCTCGTTGAGAATATAATCATTATTTTTTTTATATACTATTACTGTTTTATAATTTCTCCATATTTCGAACCTGTTTATTTAGAGGATTTTCCTTAATAATCGTCAATATTATAATTATTGCTGTCCCTTTTGTTAGAAAAAATCTCTATTGTGTTTTTTTTTTCTAGTAATTTCCTTATTTTGTTATGTTTTGTATAATATTGTAAAATGTATTATTACTATTATTACATTTATTATTATTAAAAAATGTGTTGATTAATTTGTTGTTGTGTTTATTTTTTCTGAAATCCGTATTTCCTGTTAATAGGTTATTTTATCAAAACAATATAACTATGCATTTAATCTTAAGCTAAAGTAACTTTTAAAAGGTTTATTAAATTGTGTACAAGCAAATGATTAAATAAAAAACTTTTCAAAAGAAAATTCAATTTTAAGTTTGGAATATTAACTTGAATAAGAAAACGTGTTTAACCGTATTAACCAAAATCCCCCATTTTAAATCAGTTCGGAGTATACAAAAATAAAGTAATTATCAACATAACAGTTTTTTATTTTTATTATTTTTTTTTTTTAATTGCTATATCGTACAATAAATCAAAACTTAATACGAAAAAAAAAAGCAAACATGATATTATGATAATTTTTAACATAATATTTTATTAGTATATTTAAATTTTAAACCTAAATAGGATAAAATCGCATATTGAATTTCATTTTTGTTGAAGTACAGTTTTTGTTTTTGAACTAATTAGGAAGTCTGATATTTGTAACACAAATAAAAAAAATTACACTCAATATACTCTGTGCACCAATAAATGTTTATATATTGCATCTAAAATAATTGTATTCTACATAGGTACGTATTTACATACATATTTCACCTGGAATGGAATGAAATTGAAGTGGAATGGAATTACAAAAAAAATATATATTCTTCTAGATTTTTATGCTGCGCTAGTTGGAAAAACAGGTAAAACCTTTTACGAAAAATTGTGTCTAAATAAAGCTGCTCTTTAAAATAGTATTCAGTAAGTATATACTTTTGTAGTTTATGATCCAGTGGCCAAGGTACAGGCCTTAAGGGTATCTTTATTTTAGACATTTTTGGTAATTTATCCGATGAGTTGTAGACGAATTTCACCTTTCCAGAATTTTTATTTTATTTTGATCAGTCTATAAAAGAAAAAAATCATAATGTTGCGGAAAAATTAGAAACTAAACAGAAATTAAAGATTTCATCATCTCGTGTCCAAGATCAGTACCTAAGTGAGTTGATATGAATATTCCAACTTTGTGATATTTAAATTTTACCCACTACTAACCAGTTCGATTAATATTTACGACAAATATTTTAGTATTTTATATACGGAAACAATGGCAAAAATTAAAATTTCACAACGAAACTTACTTCAAAACGCACTGCAGAATGTGGCTATTTCAATTGCACTAATTTATTGTTATTATTTATTCATTATCACGTCCAAGTACCGTTTGGGAGACGAATAATTTATCTAGAACAATTAAGTAGTAGTATTTTTTCATAAGCTTCGGGAGAATAACAAGGTTACGTATAATTAATATTACTTACTTATTATTACTTAGAAAATAAACTGTACCAGTGTCAAATCTGTATCCTACCATGGCTTTAGGATATTCCATTGGAAAATACGTGTTTTGTGAATAAAGAAAAAAAAATGAACGGATCTAATATAAAATCACTCCCTCGTGTTTAATGCATTTTCCAGACTATTTTGTTTGTTTTTTTAGATTTTACTTCTACGATTTAAATCACATATTTGGACGAATACGTGTGGCATAAAAAAACCAAAAATATATCTAATAAGTAATATATTCCTGTGATATATATTTAATAAAACCCAATTCGAGTGCATTAAATATTTATCTGAACGGCTCATATCGAAATATAAGTAAGTATTGCAATATAAATTCCTTTTAAACCTCGAGCTCGTTTCAAACGAACTCGCAGTGCGTAACCAATTATAGAATTTGGACGCTGACCGTTTGCATTCGAATGGTACGATCTCACGATACTTCAATTTTCGGACTTGAATAATTTCCAATGAATACACCGACAAAATGTCATAGCGTGTGCGGTTGAAACTGTGACCTATTTCTGCCCAGGTAAGCGTTTCGGGTCTATGTTCATTGGGCAAATCCAGTGCCACCAGTCATACGAGATGTTTCCAATGTTTTTCTAATACTTATATCTAATGTTATAAATAGTTCTCTTAGATCCACGTGACAGAAATCTGATTTACAAATCAATCGATTTTTAAATAAATAAAAAATGAATTGCTATATTTTCAGTTTCATAAGTGTAAAAATCAATTATAATGAACGTTTTATAATACCCAAGAAATAACGAAATTGCATTATTGACGAACTTTCATCGTAAGAGAGGTCTTAAGTTTAAATGCAATATTTGGTTTTTTTTCCGTATGGCAAGAATCAAATATATATTTTTTATATGTAATAAATTTAAAAATATGAAACTATTAAATAATGTGTTAATAAAAACGGTTTGGAAAAAGTTATTAAAGCCAATTTTAGGAAAGCGTACAAGTTTTTGGGTTTATTTATGTGAAAATGTTGTAATTTTTTTTATGATAACTAAGCCTAGAAGTTTGAAGTAGGTAGTGCATACACATGTTTTAAAACAAAGTTCGTAAATAATTTATGAAATAGTTACGAATTAAAAATTCTACACATTATTATTGAAAAAAATATTTATATAAAAAACCAATAATCAATAGAAATTTGATTTATTTTTGAAATCGAAAAATAAAATTAACAAAACTGATTTTATTAAATATGGGTTGGTTGATTTTAAATATTTTTTATTACTATTCGAATGTTTTTAATACCATCTATTAAAGCTATTGGTAGAAATTTAGAGGTACTGAAACGAAAAATACCATAGTTAAATTTTTGGATTCGCTTAGAATTTATAACAAAATCGATTTGAAAAAGAAATAGTAAAAAACTATAAAAAAAAAACTAACAAAAATAATATTATGAAAATCATTAAATTTTATATTTAAAAACTTTTTAACGCTTAAAAAGTGTATTTTACAAAATCATGTCAACGATTTACAGTTTAAGTTTAGAAATCGTAAAAAGTCTCGATGAAAAATTATAATCATATTATATTTTATGAAACATGAAAAATTAATCGAATGGTTAGTTAATTAATCGAATTAATCAAATGGGTGTAGCCTGCACAAAGGTATATGATTTTAATTTCAAAATTATTTTAAATGTCACTTCATCACTGAAGAATCTATATTTCCATAAATTATATTGTAATATGCATTTTATATAATTAAAATTCGTTATTTTTCTATTTAATTTATAAAGTATGAATGTGACTGCTGAGTAACTAACTTTGTTCGAGGATTCGTGTCCTTTTTTCGTTTGTACGCACATATTTTTAATATCACTGTTATAACCTAAATTTTATACTGTCTGATAAATGTTTAAAAAAAAATTTACATATTTACTGCGTTAAGAGAAGAATATTTTTATTTCCGTTGAAATTGTAAACGATTATGTTTCTCTATAACTTTTTAAATAGCTATATTATATATAGACGATAGCTATATTAATATTTTGTTATAATGGATATTTACTGGGAACGTTAAAAGTTGATGTTAGTAATGTTGGCATTTCAAACCGGTATGCGTTGCGCATTGTTTTCATGGCGTTACTGGCGTTACATGGCGTAATTCTGTGAATCCATTAATATTCTATTGATTTTACTTCGATACCTCAACATTTTGCATTTTGCTTAGCATATTTTATAGTATTCGATGTAATTGTTAAGATATATGACCGCTTAGCGACGAATACTGACAATCACCGGTGATTGTTGACCTTTATCAATCATTTTGGTGAATATTGTCTGTTTTTTACAAATTACTCACATTGCGAACATTTACATTAGTTATTTGGTGAACGTTAATTTACTTAATAAAAATCAAATAATAACAATTATTTACAATCAATAATTAATAAGAGATACTAACAATCGATTAAATAATAAATAGATTTAGATTGGTTGATTACATTCAGTTTATTTACTTCATTGTAATTTACTGTGAATATTTTTTTACTTAGCACAATACATATATAGCACTTTTTGGCACTTAAATAGAAACAATTATCTTCCATTTTTTTTTTTTTTTTATTAGTTAAAAGTCAACTAAACTTTTCTTAAAAAATATCTTTCATACTTTCCATTTTTATGATTGA